AATGCCAGATTTCATGGATTTTAGCCACCACCTACCTCTTCACTACGGTCGCGTTCAATTCCACCGTGCACCAAGTCCCCAGGATGGCCCTCTCCTTGTCGTATGGGTGCATGTCTCCCACTGCTCGGTTTCTGCACAGGTTCAGCATAGCAGGAACATAAGTTTGCCACCCACTCTGACAGGTAACAATGGGAAAAAGAGGCCTCGCGGGGGGTACACTTTAACTTTCGCAATTCCAAAATAATTTGCGAGGAGTCCAAATTTGTCATGAACTATATCGGGATGTCTGAAAGGGTATTCTTTGGTTTTGTTTACGAAAGGGTACAGGCTGGTAAAATCATAATAGTGGATTTCTTCACCGGGGTTAGGTTTGTAATATAGGCGGATAGCGTTAGTCCTCCCTCAAAAAAGAGCATCCCTAGGCATGAGAGGCTGAGGCAACTGGGCTTTAAGAAATCTGCAAGCTCCCTGTCTGTTTCTATCATCACCTCCCACTCATGCTCCCAGAGGGTCCTCACTATATAACCAAGTCTTTTCAGATAGTCAGTCTTGAGCTGTGTCTTGTAATAAAGAAACCCAGAAGTTGTCCCAATCATAGGGTTCTGTGCTTTTTCACAATAACAGGTGACACAGCTGTGGAAAAGCACCCATTAAATTCAAAGGCTGGACATACCCCATCAATGATATCATAACTGTCTAGAAAGTAGGGGCCTACCCATAATTTCCCACCCTATAAAGCATGCCGTATCTGTATATTTTCTTTTGAGCCATGTAGACAGATGCCAGCTTTATGTCCTGGAAAGGATCTATACACAATTTTACCTCTGTGAATTTATCAGGGCCTCTCTACTATATCTCCCATCTTTATCATTTTCATGATCTCTTCTCTGTACAGGATATAGGCCCGTCTCAAAATTTTGACATCCTGTTGACAATAATACACGAGCTCTTTCTGCAAGTCTCATATCTGTTGTCACGATACCAGTCAAGAAATTCTGCTTTCTCCCTGGGCATCATGCTGTCGATGCCATAGTGCTCCACCCCAGGCATAGGCCCTATGTAATTTTGATTTTCCAAAGTGTTAAAAAAAGTGTGGGAAATATCCTTTGCGACCTTCAAACCCCATCTCCTAAGGGAGCTTGCTAAGCTACATGGGCAAGAAGTTTAAAGAGTCTATAAAACAAATGCCCAGGGACTTAACTTCCACACACATTAGTTTACTACCCTGAATTATCAGTTCTATGCACATCTTTTCTTTTAGTAACTGTTTAATGACGAATTGTGCACTGTGAATGTGTAGTCCCAGAACTTTTTGCCAATGAAGGTCTTAACAAAGGTAGAAAAACGTTCACCGCCCTTAAATTCCCAGGATTTTTCCGGCTTTAAGGACATAGCAAAAATGTAATTGGACACATGCAACCCAGTCTCCTGCGTGCATTCAAAATTGTAAAAAATACACTTTACTGATGATTTGGGCTTTCTAATGTAGTCCAAAAAACACAGATGGCTGTCTACATCACCAGTGATCAAACCCTGACACTGCTTTCAACGCCTCCCTTTACACTTGTGCCCCTTGTCCACATAACACTGACACTTATCACATAAAGCATTAGACAGGCATTCAACTTGTTTTTTCAATGCACAGTCTACGTGTCTGTCTAAACACTCTTTGGACTGACAATACAGTCTACAGCTAGGACACCTCAGCTGCATGCCCACACTGTCTGAGCAAGTCGAACTCAAGAAGAGGCAGCAACGACACCTGCAAGAATGGTCGTGACTGTACACCACGTGGCAAAACTCACAATAATTTTTTGTACCGAACAACTTTTTCACATCCAGAGCCCCATAGTAATGCTCATGGTGCAATAGGATGAAAAAAAAGTCTTGGGGTACACTGGGCCCCCCATTTTTAAAAAAACCCAACTGTCTTTCGCTGCATTAAAGCACCATCTGTATGTTGACTGGTAAATGCTGTTCAAACACTGCTACGTCGCTGAGCATAATTTTTTTTTTATCTGACCACCCCAGTTTCTCATGCAACTAACAATTCTGCATCTGTAGGTTTACAGTTGGATATGACAGCCAAGAGCCCGCCTGCGAAACATAGATTGGTACCGGTGTAAGTCAGGTCTACTAAACACTGTCTGTTTCTATGGACAATTTGACTATTGAGGATAGAATGTAAAACTCTATGGTCACCCCCTCCCATGATTTTACAACCATCACAATGAGGTGCAACATACCATCGACATGCATCTCTCTATTACTCTGTAACAGCTTTGAGGTCTGTGTGACGTTCCCCTGGTGTTATCTGGACCAGTGATCTGCTAGGCCACTCCAATCTTCAGCTCTGGGAGCCAGCCTTACCCTGCTCTGCTGTGAGAACCCCCACTCTTGGACTGTTCACACATAGCCTCTAGCATGTAAACTGCTCCCAACTATGTAAGTGAGCACTTTTGGCCAGCCACTGCTTGGATTGTGCAACTGAATGACACTAGCCAATATCATTGGTCCCAGACATAACCCTAGGAACCTCCAGTTATGCCCGCTGGGCACTTATACGAGTTCGTCAATTTAACAAAGGAATAGATATGTACCAGGCTTGTTATCCCAAGGGGAGTCTCTGACATGCTTCAAACCAAACGCACTGCTTCGAGTAAAATAAACAAACAAATTTATTAACTACAAAAGATAGAGTTTAAGTAATTATAAGTCATAGCATAGCAAGTCAGATTTGGTCATTTTTTTGGTCATTTTTTAGTCAAATGAAATAAAAGCAAAACACATTCTAAGCTGATCTTAACACTTTCAGTGCCCTTAAAAACTTAGATGCTTCTCACCACAGGCTGGCTGGTTGCCCTTCAGCCAGGCTCTCCCCTTTGATCAGCACTTCAGTTGCTTAGTGGTCGTGTCTGTAGATGGAGGTGGAAGAGAGACAGAGAGCATGGCAAACGTCTCTTCCTTTTATCATGTTCTTTCTTCCCTCTTGGCTTTGCCCCCCACCCTTCAGAGTCAGGTTAGCATTACCTCATCGTAGTCCCAAACTGACCAAGGGAAGGGGGGTGACTCACTTGAGAGTCCAACAGATCCTTTGTTGCTACTAGGCCAGTGTCCTTTGTTCCTGTGAGGCTGGGCTGAGTTTGTCCCATACATGCCTTGATGAGGTGTGAACTGCCCCTCTGCTCCTGGAGAGTTTTGCCTAGGCTTTTTTTAAGCCATGAGGACACATTTTCAGCCTCATAACTATATACATGAAATTACAACCTATAACATTACTATAACAACAATGCTCAGTGCATCATGAGCCTTCCAAAGACACTCAACATGACAAACTTTGCATTGGATACCACGCAATCATATTATAAGGAAGAACATGGGGGTGCAGCGTGTTCCCCCGAGATGCAGAGTGTCACAGTCTGATTTAAGAAATCTTCAGCAGACAGCTCATCCCTAGTTCTTCTTACCAAAAACAAAGGGTTGGTTAAATTATGACTCTCTAAACATAACTGAACATAATGGTCAGGGGCTAGGCTACTGCTAATGTCATCAAGAACTAACTGTATCCCCGTATACAGCATCAACAACCTGCTGAGCTGAATTTAATCGCTCAAGATTAACAAAATGAAATTCCTCACAATACATCGAACCCCCAAATCTAGGTAATTCCCATTGCCAACTTCTCACTCACTCCATATACACGTCTGTTTGGGGGTCTGCATCTGCATTTTCAGGGTTACTTGGGGGTTCCTCTATGGGACAATCAGCTACAAATTCTAAGTCAGACACTATTTGAGACTCAGACTCCAAGGGGCCACCGCGAGGATCATCAGGAGTAGATGGGGACCTATCTAGAGAGCATTCTGGGGAATTTTCTAAATCAGACTGTGAGAATCACCACCGCCCCGCAGGTTGGATTCCACCTCTCCATTCTCAGACGCACCGGTTTGAGAGCCTCCAATAGGGGGCATCTCTTTGTTTTTTTGGTCCTCATCACCTCTTTAGCCTTTTAAAAAAATTTACAATTTGGGCCATAACTTTTGGGCAGCCATCCGTTTATCCCCAAATGCTGGCCCCCCTTTTGTTTACACCTTAGCTGATGTGTACCCTTGAGGATGCCCCTTTTACCCAGGCCCTTTCCATGACTAGTCATGCCTGCTCAGAGCCATCCTCTTGAAAAACTGAAGTATTTTTCAAAAAGTCACCCGCAAGAGCTTTTGCATTTTGGATGTAGTTTCCAGTCCTCCTTTCTTTTAGAGCTCCAGAGGATACAGCATCCATCAGCTTTCTGAACGAAGCATCGCATTTTTCCCAAATCTTTTTAGAATACCAACGAGCTGTGCTGAACTTATTTTGTTGGGAAAATGATTTGTAATAATTTTCAGATACTTCATAAGAAGATACCCCAGCATCACAGGAGGTTTCAGTCCTTGGGTTTTTATTCATAACCCCTAAAGCACGTGCTCTGGATTTGTGAATGTGTGTGTTTTCACTCACAGTTTTCTCAGGGCTTGGTGTGGTGTTGACCTCTGAGGAACTGGAGTTGTGTTTGCGTGGTTGCTTTTTACCAGAATCTTTTGTTTTGTCCTTTGACTTGATGTATACGAGCTTTGGACTATCCTGATGTTTCCTCTGCACTCTTCTGCTGTTTTGCATTGGCGTTGTTATTAAAGGTCCCAGAGCAGATTCCTGGTTCTTTGGCAGTTCTGGTGGAGGAGTCCCTGTAGCTCTGACTACGGCATTGTCAGGGGATTTGCCCATGCCTGATTAGGAAAAACAGAGATGTTCCAATTTAGCATCAAATAAACATTTTACAAAATTCACCAAAACCACAAAACTTAACTTTACCATCTCTCTCACCCACACCTACATATTTGCTTAAAATACAAAACCTCATAAAACAACCAAACCAATAAGCAAAATATATTTACCAGGCTTCACCCATCCATCAGCCGTTGATGCTGTTGAATTTTCCTTTTCAGCTGTCTCTTTCCTTTTTCTTTCGAGCTTGTTTACCCTCTGGTCTAAGGGTCTCATGTTTTGACCATACTGTGGAGCAAACACATGAAACAGTCTTGCAAACATAAAAATAAAATATTCATTAGTGTGTTTTTCTATGTAAAAAGTCATAGCTTTAAACAAAATAATCCATTTAAGTCTGTACAACAAATATAGGTTTTGAGTTTATTTCTACCACTAGTGTTTCTCCAAAATCTAGACATTTTTTAATACAAGCACATGTTTCCACCATGCACCCAAAAACAAAGTTTGCAATAAAATACTTTTTAAATCCCCCACCATAACTAGGTCTTCAACAGGCCCCCTAAATCACCAACAACAATTTAAACATTAAAACTAATTTTAAAACAACCCATTTAAAAAAAAAATCACATTTTGCTGAGTAAAAAACCCTGTTAGTTTGAAACACACCAAACCAACAGTTTGCAACAATATACGTTTCAATAAACCCACACCAATGTCTTGCACAGGCCCCTAACTCACAATTTAAACATTAAAATTAATTTAAAAAAATATTTTAAAACACACACGCTTTTAAAAATCAATTGCAGAAAGTTACCTTCCACCACAGGGTAAAGGGATGCTGGCACATGGTTATTCTGTTTTCCCCCATGTATATTTGGGCCTTTGGGTTAAAGAACAAGCAAAAAAATTAGTTGGTATTATTCCCCAAATGCGTCAAATCCCTATGCAACCCGTGTATTACCTGGTGTTTTTTAATTTAAGAGTATTAAGCACAACTATAGTTAAAATGGGGTTTTACCTGGCCCTGGTGAAACAGAGCTTGAAGTTGCTGTTGCCATGCCAAACAGATCACCCTGCAATAAAGATAGGTACCATTATTAGTAAGAACAGCATGGACAAAGAGGGACATTACATAATATATATTTTCAGAGTTTAAAACAAGCAACATACATCTACTTGCAGTCCAGCAGCTATTCTCTTCAAGATAAAAAAAGAGTACAGTCTCCAAAAACCTGAGTTTTTTTATACCATCCTAACTCTTTGTTTCAAACAAATTTCAAAGTCTGTAGTTAGCGGTTTGATTTGATCACTACAACTCTGAATTAAGAGATACTTAAGGAATTGAGGCACCCCTCCCCAAACATTCCCTTTTGTGATCTGGGGTGTGTGTGAAAATTAAGTTGTCTACAGAACTGGGCTGCTTTTGGCATTTTTTTTTCTTTTAGTTAAAATACATTTTTCTGTTTCAATGACAAAACAGAGCACTGTAGGGCCTTCTTACAGTATTAAACAGTGAATCCATATACATAAAATCCTTAATGTTACTGTATCCTCTCCTGAGTAGGGGCACCGTGCAGATATCAATGAATGTCTTGTGGGTTGTTGTTTTTTTAAAACATGTTTGTTTCATGCTTAAAGTTTTGGGTTGTTTTGAAATAAAATGGATGAATCACAACCATAGTAAACACCCTAAAAATACCCATAGCTTTTAAATGTTTGAATGTTTTTACAGCAAATGCTTGTTCTATAAAAGTATGTTGGAGGTTTGTGAACCCTTGAAACATTTCAGTTTTGGGTTAGATCCTTGGGGTTTTTTTGTAAATATATTATTTTAAACTTTTAATGACTGAGTTGCTAGAAAGCGTGACACATAATGTTCAACCAACTTCTGGGGTTATATTTAAACTGTCCAATAGCATCTACAAACTCCTGAGGTTTTATTTCATTTAATATTAATCAGAGCTTGACATCCCCACCCACCTCCGTTACTGTGGGTGTACACCCATCAAACTAAATTACTGATCACTAAGGGCTGGTCCACACTACCCGCCTAATTCGGCGGGTAGAGATTGATCTTCTGGGATCGATTTATCGCGTCTCATCTGGACGCGATAGATCGATCCCAGAAGCGCTCCCCCGTCGACTGCGGAATTCCTGCTCGCCGAGAGGAGGAAGCGCTGTCGACAGGGGAGCCTGCCTGCGCCGCGTGGACCCGAAGTAAGTACTTTTAGTTCAATATAGGAAACGTCGACTTCAGCTACGCTATTCTCGTAGCTGAAGTTGCGTTTCCTATATCGATCCCCCGCCCCAGTGTGGACCAGCCCTAATACATTTAACCCTGATGGAAACAAGGGTGGATAATCACATCTAGGCCTACAGACTCCTTAAGGCAATAGAGTCACCCTTGCTATTCAGTGGGGATGTGGTTAAACCATCAGCTCAACAGGATGAGTCAGCTCTATTGTACTCAAACATCCCTGTTTTATACAGAATATAGAAGCTTTTTTATTTGCTTTTATTTTAAACACATTTTTTTGGTTTTTTCCTCCACAAGATTCTACTACACACATTTCAGCTTTTGCTGTAAATGGGTCTCATTTACACAAAGACACAAGAAGTAGGTTCTCACAAACTATTTTTGTATTTATTTAAAAGACATACAGCCCCCTGACAACAAACCAAGACGCTCCATAAAAACTTTTATCTTATTTAAGGGCCACACAGACCTTCTAACAGAAACACAGATAGTCACAAAGCCCTTTTCAATAGATATTTTTATTTACAGCTACCAAGTTTTATATCACATGTTTGTCCCCTCACCATTCTCTAACTTAATCCTTTTAGATTTCTTACAAATAGTCTTTTTCCTAAGCAGGGTTCTGTAACTTTTTGTGCGGACCAGACGATCAATATAACGCTCTGAGCAGACATCCTCCGGTTTGGTCATTTTCTTTAAAATACTATCAGGGTCTTGACCGAATTGCACAGCATTTACCAAGGTCACCCCTTGTGCTAAATGTTCTTGAGTTAAGCACAGATATTGTTGCATTGCATAACCTATGGCAATAACAACATTTAATAAACTTTCAAAACACAGTTCAGCACAGGGGTCCTGGAGCTTGCAGTTTATATCCTCTGAAGTCCAAGTCACACAGTCATAGCACAGCCCTCAGGATCTTCAAAAAGTTTTTCCCTAAGACAGTGATTAAGGACAGCATTAACAGCAACATGTACAATAGACCACATGACTGTCTTACGCTCATGATGTGGCATTGGCTCATTTAGTTCCATGCCAAGCCCACTCCTAAACCCCACATAGCCGTCATCCTCAGTGTCCTCTTCAACTATTTGTATCGGTGTTGAGCAAAAATAAGACAGGCCTGGTTCATCTTCCTCATCTGATACAATGCTGTTCAGGGCCCCCAGGTCCTCTAGAAAGACATCGTTGAGCTGTCAAGAGATTTTCATAAAAGAAACAACTGTAAGCTCCCACTGTTTGTTTTTAGATTTACGCAATCCCGGGTTGGTTCCTGACCCTATTACACCTCATCCTCGACTGTCACTTCTTAATTGTTCATTTACCTGAGCGATGTGTTTTCCGTTCACCTTGTCCATCAGTGACTCCCACAAGCCTCGGTCACCTTCCTCCATAGGGGTGGACAACAAGAGGCCATCACGCTCATTGGTCTTCCTCATGAACGCTTGGGTTTCGGGGTCAGGTTCCAACGTATCCATCAATGGCTGGGCCAAAGGGCTCCTCTCAGCTGCTCTCTCCTCTTCCTCCTTGGAACTTTCGCTGATGTAGTGCTTTCTCCGCAGGTGGTTGAAACCCTCAGAGCTAAAACAAATTCGGAAGCTCTCATTTCTAAAACACACATTCTTGAAATGAGATGGCCTCTTCCATATGGCGCTGGGACTTACAGGGTGGTGGTGCTGCACTCTGATTGGTAGAGGGTGATGGGAGGAGTTCTTAGATGGGTCACATGACCCACTTCCAGATGAATTACCCCACCCCAGAGATCCCCAATTGGTCAAATCTGCTCTCTGGGTGGTCCTCTGTGGCTGAAACCCATCCTGATTGGTAGAGGGTGATGGGAGGAGTTCTTAGAGGGGTCACATGACACCCCTTGTTTCGGGTCATGTCTCCGTCTTGATCCTGGAAGTAATATCATAGTGGGCGGGTCTTAGGGTGACCGATGGGCGGGGCTAACAGGTCAGAGGGAGGAGCCAATGTTTGATTGACGGTAAGCCCCTTATACTACTCTCCATTTCTTCCACCCACTTTTGCAGGGAACAACAGTGAAGGATGAAATGGTCAGGATGTGCCCTCAGCAGGGGACAGTACAAACAACACACAGCAAAGTGGTTCCTACAGTGTCTCCCTGTGACACATATAAGCCTGGGATCCCACTGATGAAATGGAAGCACTAACATCACATATCTTCAGTGGGAGTGTGGACATGGTAATATATGTGTATAGAGCACTATAGGTGTGTCCAGCACAGCCCAGTCCTCGATTATGTGCACAGTGTAAACATAGCCTTTGGCATGGGGTTGTTTGCTTGTTTGTTTTTGCAGCTTCCAATTTATTCCACAAGCAGCACCACCCTCCTTTCAGAGGGCCATATGCACACTATACTGTCATTCTGGAACTGCTGAGGTGGTAGTTAAACAGTGCCTTTCTACTGTCCAAGTGGCCTGTGACAGGGCAGCAGGGGATAAGTCGGGTCTCCAGAGATAACTGGAGCAATCTCCACACCAATAATGTCCATAGTGATCCTGGGAGCAAACTTTCCTTTATTTGTAAGGTAAATAGAACTGAGTTCCTAGCATTGTGGACTTTTCCAGACTTCCCTTTTTTAAAGATAGGCACTATATTTGCCTTTTTCCAATTGTCCAGGACCTCCCCCAAGCACCATGAGTTTTCAAAGATAATGGCCAGTGACTCTGCAATCATGTTAGCCAACTCCCTCAGCACCCTTGGATGCATTGCATCCAGCCCTATGGACTTGTGCATGTCCAGCTTTTCTAAATAGTCCTTAACCTGTTCTTTCACCACTGAAGGCTGCTCACCTCCTCCCCATACTGTGCTGCCCAGTGCAGCAGTCTGGGAGCTGACCTTGTCTGTGAAGACCAAGGCAAAAGAAGCATTGAGTACTTCAGCTTTTTCCACATCATCTGTCACTAGGTTGCCTCCTCCATTCAGTAAGGGTCCCATACTTTCCCTGACCTTCTTCCTGTTGTTAACATCATAGGTGCCAACTTTCACCGGCGCCGGTGGGCGCTTGCGCCCCCCGCTCCACCCCAACTCCTCCCTTGCCCCGCCCCAATTCCAACCCCTGCCCCAAAGTCCCTGCCCCAACTCCACCCCCTCCCTGCCCCTATTGGACCCCTTCCCAAAATCCCTACCCAAGCCCCGCCTCTTCCCCGAGCGCACCGCGTTCCCCCTACGCACCCCTTCCAGCCATGCAAAACAGCTGTTTCGCGGCACAAGCACTGGGAGCTAGGGGGGGAAAGCTGGCATGCAGCATGCTCAGGGGAGGAGGCAGAGGCACAGCAGAGGTGGAGGTGAGCAGGGAGCTGCTGGTGGGTGCTGAGCACCCACCAATTTTTCCCCGTGGGTACTCCAGCCCCAGAGCACCCATGGAGTCAGCGCCTATGGCTAACATATCTGTAGAAACCCTTCTTGTTACCCTTCACATCTCTTGCTAGCTTCAACTCCAACTGTGCTTTGGCCTTCCTGATTACACTCCTGCATGCTCAAATAATATTTTTATACTCCTCCCTAGGCATCTGTCCAAGTTTCCACTTCTTGTAAGCTTCCTTTTTTGTGTTTAAGCTCACTGAAGAATTCTCTGTTAAGCCAAGCTGGTTGCCTG